CGCTTCCCTTTCTATTGAACTCTTCCATCCCGCTCTCTTGTTGTATGTTCCGACCGTCTTACATTGTATTATATGGAACTCTATTCTGCCCCAATATAGTAGTATTATGTTTCTATATTATTATTATTATTTTTTTTTTATATAAAAAAAAACATTTCTATTATGTTATTCGAGTCTTATCGCGCCCCCAACTCCCACGATCGCTGCGCCCGCGCGCGGGCCCCGTTTTTTCTGTCATGTCCTGTTCCATTGCACTTACGTTGTAGTCTGTTCCGTTCGTTTCTAGTTTATCCCAAATTCTTATGATTCCATCATCTTCAATCTTATCCAATCGCGGGCCAGATTTTTTGCCCGGGGGGCGCGGGCCATTTTGTTTGGGCGGCGCCGGGCGCCTAGATCACGCCGCCGCGCGGGGCGGCGGCGAACCCCCAGGATGAACCGCCATAGGGCAGCCGGGAGACTTCGCATCATCAGCGCGGCACGCAGTGCGAACCGCATAGGGCGAGGAGGAGGGTATCTTCAGAAATCTCAGTCTCCAACATGTTGTTTTTCAATCCCCCTCTCAGACTCTCTCTCTCTCTCTCTCTCTCTCTCTTTCTTTTGTTTTTTTTTCTCTCTCTCTCTCTCTCTATCTATATCTCTCTCTATATTTTTTTTTCTCTCTCTCTCTCTCTCTCTCTCTCTCTCTCCCTCTCCTTCTCCTTCCTTACTCTAGTCCACCTTGCTCTAATGCAGTCTATCCCGTTGTATTCCGTTTTGTTTTTCTCTGGCCGCTATTCTTGTCCAATCCGTCATGCTCTCTTCCATTCTTGTTTTCCCCACTCTGCTCGACCTCTACTCCATGCCATTCGATGTCATTATATATCAATCCCAGAAAGACCATGCAGATTCGTTGAAACTTCTGTGAACCTTCCTGGAGATCCTTACTCTTTTCGGGCCTTCTCAGGTCGCCCCCCCCCCCCCCCCCCCCCCCCTCTCGGGCTCTCGGCATTTCGAGGCGCATCCCCCCCATGGGGCCCCCCTCCCAGAGGCCCCCTCAGGAACCTCGCGCTTCGGCGCCGCAGGCGAAGGCGTGGTTTTCACAAGGAGGCGCAGCGCCGCGGCACAGCAGCAGCACCACAGCGCAACCTCTGCGCACAGCAACACAACGCAGCAGCGCAGCTCAGCAACAGCGCATAAGGACATGCAGCGCAGCAAGCAGCGCAGCAGCAGCAGCAGCAGCACAGCAACGCTGCAGCACGGCACGCAGCAACGCGGAAGGAAGCACATCACAGCAACCCACCGCAGCAGCGCAGCAACAGCACAGCAGGGCTCCAAGGCTTTTCTGGGGCCCCCAGGTGGCCCCGCAACGTTCAGGCTGAAGCTTGACAAAGTGCTGCTGTTCAGTGACAGCTCAGCGTCGTGCCCAGCACAGTCGCACCATGGCAATGGGCCTCAGCGCGGCGGCGGTCGCCGTGCTCAGCGCGGTACGCATCATTCCCAGCGGGCGGCCGCTCAGGTCCTGAACTTGCTTGCCCTCGCCGCGCCGGTCTTCCTCGGCTACCAGCTGTCGGAGATCCAAGAGGTCAGCGGCGGCCGCTCCCACCAGGCAAGCCAGATCAACCGCGGAGCAACCTTCGCCGAGCGGCGGCGGATGATTCAGGAGTTTTGCGCGCGCGAATGTGAGTGGCACATCACGTCCAGTTTCTCTCCGTGGGACATGGCGCAGGATGATCAGCGCGCGTCCAGGCAGGCGTTCCAGTACCTCGGCGTGGACAGCAGGTCCCAGTTTGCAGCGTTCAGCTCTCGATCAGTGTCAACAAGGCTGCGCGGGAGTCAGAGCACCCCGCCGACGGCCCAGATATCACGACGTTCGTGAAGTACCTCAGGCAGGGTTGGGAACATAACTTCCACGGCAAGGGCCCGGACAGATGCGATCAGGCTGCGACCGTCCAGACGCGCGTCGGTCAGCTTCACGTTGCTAGGGCGCTCGACTTCTACGCGTTCTGAGGCCGTCGGAGGCCGTCAGGGCCGTTCTGTCTGCAGGGCCGCGCCGCCCGTCGCAGGGCTGTCTGAGGCGGCGCGCCTGGCTTCTGAGGCGCAGGGGAGGGGGGCCATGGGCGAACGAGAATGTGGGTGGGTGGGGGGGGGGGGGGGGGGCGGGGCGGGATCGGGTTTTGTCCGCGCAGATGAGGATGTTTTTTGTGTATGTATGTATGTATGTATGTATGTATGTATGTATGTATGTGTGTATGTATGTATATATATATATATATATATATATATATATATATATAGGTTGCCCCCCCATCCAAGATCATACATCTCGTCTTGAACCGCATTCATCCTCATCTCCCTCCTATTCATCTGTACCACGCTTATCTTCATTATGTCTGCGCATCGGTTCCAGGGTCTGCTTCCATCGCGCCTTGATGCGGCAGAAGGGGGCATCCATTTATGGATGCCCCTTCGACGATGTGCCCCTTCGACGACGCGGCCGACGCGGAAAGGCTCCTTGGCCAGTGGTGGGAGGGGAAACCTGACAAGGTGTCCTGGCCCGTTTGTCGTGCTGGAGAGGGGACCTGAAAAGGCTCCTTGGCCAGCGGCGGGAGGGGGGGCCTGAAAAGGTTTCCTGGCCCGTCTGTTGTGCCGGAGAGGGAACCTGACAAGGCTCCCTAGCCAGTGGCGGGAGGGGAAACCTGAAAAGGCTTCCTTGCCCGTTTGACGTGCTGGAAAGGGAACCTGAAAAGGCCCCCTGGCCAGTGGCGGGAGGGGAAACCTGAAAGCATTCCCCTTCCCGTTTGATTCGCTGGAAAGGGAACCTGAAAAGGCTCCCTGGCCAGTGGCGGGAGAGGAAACCTGAAAAGGCTTCCTGGCCCGTTTGATGCGCTGGAGAGGGAACCTGGAAAGGCTCCCTGGCCAGTGGCGGGAGGGGAAGCCTGAAAAGGCTTCCTTGCCCGTTTGATGTGCTGGAGAGGGAACCTGAAAAAGGCTCCTTGGCCAGGGTTCCCACCTCCGCGCCCGAAAACACTGCCGTCCGTCTGCGCGTGATTTACTGCCGGAACCAGAGCCTGAACCAGAGCCAGAAACGCACCCATAACCAGAAGCTGAACCAGGGACAGAACAATAACCAGAGCCAGACTCAGCATCAGAGCCAGAACCAGAGCCAGAACCAGAGCCAGAACCAGAACCAGAACCCGAACCACAACCAAAGCCAGAACCATAACCAGAGCCAGAACCAGAGCCATAATAATAACTAGAACCAAAGCCACATGTGGAGCAGTCCAGCACCGTTCCAATTAGACAGAAGATCCTCCTCCTCCTCCTCCCCATCCTCCTCCTCGTAGCCGCCCTGGCCCAAACTTACTTCGAGCAGCGGGTTCCGCCGTGGTCTTTGCCGCGACGAAGCGGCCCGCTGGCGCGATGAAGCGGCCCGCTGGGGCCACCATCCCAAGCAAGAAAACGATGTTGAAACGCTCAGACAAATCGTTCCGCCCTTTCCCAGTGCCTAAAGGCGGCAAGGGCATCGTGGGCCGTGACCAGAGTGCCATGAAGCAGAAGAAGAAGAATAACAGCATGAAGGCCTCCGTGAAATATACCCGCAGCGGCGCGCTGCCCACGAAGACCCGACAATAGCGTGAGCAATGGCGCCGCTCCCTCGCCAGCTACGAGGGGAAGTCTGAGGGGGACATGGCGTCGATGCTGATCGAAGACAACATCTTGATTGATTGGTCGGGCCGCATCTGTCCGCACTGCGGGCAGGGCAAGCTCGGCAATCGGCGTGTCCAGGCGGACGGGGCGGTGAAGTGGCGATGCAACAGCGGTCGGCGGCGCGGGAAGCAGGTGGGCGCGTGCTACGGGCACCCCGTGTTCAGCGACGGCAATGGACAGAGCGAGTTGTCGCTGATGAACGAGGTCAAGATGTTGTTCTGCCTGTTGATCGGGATGACCACCGCGCAGATCCACCTCCTGCTCAACGTCAATCACAAGGCTATCGAACGCATGTCCAAGTACCTGGGCGCAGCCCGCCAGCGGTTCGTCGAGAAGAAGGAGAAGGAGATTGTTCGGGGGCGACAAGGAGTGGGTGGACGTGGAAGCGGGCGAGACGGTTTTCCGCGCGGCGCCATCAGCTGACAAGAAAACGAAGGAATGGGATCAGCGGGCTGGCTGTGTTGAGCGCGGGCGCCCACGGAGCTTGGTGCTCTGGCGCGCCAACGACGACGCGACCGTCCCGAAGGCGCCAGGCCCTGGGGCAATCACCAAGTCAGACTGGGAGCCGTTCGTGCTCAGCCGCCTGCAGCACCAGAAGGTCATCCCCCACTCCGACGGCGCCAGGAGCTACAAGATTCGGGCGGCTGGGGTCCTACATGACTGGGTCGTGCACACGCGGAAGCGCAAGAAAATCTGCGGCAAGCGGGTGTGGCTCAAGCCCACGTTCACCAAGCTGGTGCGTCACAAGCTGCCTGAGGGCGGCTCCATCCTTGTGAAGGGCGGCACGCAGATCGTGGACAGGGCCTGGCAGTTCTTGAAGGAGCACATCGGCAGCCGCACTCTGAAGCCCAAGAGCAGGGCACTGGCCAGCAGGATTCGCTCGGGACAGTGGGAGTACTGGAACAAGGGCAACGACCTCTGGGTGGCCACGGGTGACATGATCTACGAGGAGATGAGCGGCGTGTACTGAGGGTGGGAGTGCCATTGCTTTCACTCAGGGTGAGGTTTAACTCTGGGATGCTTTCTGCGTTGCGGTATGCTGGGCCAGCATGGCGAGAGTGCCCAGGCGAAATGTGCGCAGTTACGCATATAGCTCTCGACTTGTTCCATGACGTCAAGACTAGCGAAGAAACAGTTGTATTCACCAGTGCCGTCGCCAGTCTTGCCACCTCGCAGCAACGGCAACGTCCTTGCCGACATCCTTCTGTTCGTAGCTGTTTGGGCTCAATCGCAGGGTTCAGTAGTTCGCGCTTGCTGTCCCCAGCTGCCAATCTTTCACTTCAAGCTTCCGTTTGCACCCGCTGTCTGCCATGGCGAGCTTGACGGCTGGCGGCGCCAAGTCGATGGGAGAGATCGTCGGCGGCGACGCCTCCGCAACGGATCAAATCAAAACCACGTGGCTGCTCATGGCGACGGCGCAGTCCTACAAGACGCTCGACAAGCCCGAGCGTTTCCAATCAGACCCTCCCGCTGCTTTCGTTCTCCGCGGCATGCCGCTCCAGTGCGCGGACAACGTCGTGAATGTGAAGCATGTAGTGGATTGGGTGACGTTGGAGGATGGCGCCGCGGAGCAATTGGACACAGTCGACGTGTATGACGCCATGTGCGGGGGCAACTACATGGCGTTGCCGGCCCCGTTTAAGCCCAACAAGGATCCTGGCGAGATCGCCTTCACCATGCAGCTTTACATATAGCCGAAGGACGTGAACGGTGAGCAGTGCGCGCTGAAGTACGTCAGGTTCGACAACAAGGTTCGGACCGACATTGCCGAGGATATCTTCGTTGCAGGCAGGGCGCTCGCCATCCACTGGGGGAGTTCGGCCGACACTAAGCCGCCACCCAAGCTCTTTCACTACATGATGGACAGGCTGGGCGGGGTGCAGGTCCGCCATTGGGTTCAGCCGTCCGTGGCCGCCGCCGTCGGCGGTAGCGGTTACGACAAGGAGAAGCGAAGGGCGGGCTATCGTTTCAAAGAGGAGTTCGGCCCGAGGGCAAACAACCGCGACCAGTTCGTGGAGTGGACCGACGAACAGATCAACGACGAGAAATCGCCGATCTTTGGCTGGCAGGCATCGGAAGTCAAGGAGTCGCTCCGCAACTACGCGTCGGGCTCTGTTGGCGCGAGGACGCTCGAGCGCTGGGCGATCACGCTCAAGCGCTTCCACCCGTTCGTGTTCGACAACATCGTCGCCCCCATTCTCAAGAGCCACGGCGTGCACGGGGCCACGTGGATCGGCAAGACCAGGGTCGGCAAGTCCACGGCGTCGAAAACCATCGGCTTCGCAATCTCCGCCTGCCAGATTGATAAGAATAACCGCACCGACCTCCGTCCGAGCGTCGTCACGACGAAGAAAGTCGACTTCTTGCGGCTCGAGCCTGGAATTGTGTACAAGCCCGCTATCGCGGACGGCACCGCCCTCGCGAAGTGGGCCCCCGATGAGATCAAGGCCTTCCTGGACCCCGCCGAGGAGGACGCGCTGCTGTGGGCGAGGCCGCAGGGCGCGGATGACGCACGCCGTCGAAAAGCATAGACAATCAAACACCCAAACGGCGACAAGCCATGTTTTACATGTCGGTTTTGGCGTGCGTCGTTTCCGCGCGCTGCATAGGTGGGGCGGCGCCTCCTTCGAGCAGGACCAGTCCCGCCAGATCTGTGTCAACCCCTACGACCGGGAGTTCGAGAAGAAGGTGCGTTCCACCCGCAGAGGCCAACAAGTGACCAAATTCGACGACTTCCTCAAAACCATAGATCGCAACTTCGCTGGCGAGAAGCAGCGCGGCTACCAGATGGCGGACGTGGAGGCGCACATGGCGAGGTCCAACATCGTGCTCCTCACTGACGACTGGATGTACCTGTGGCTGGCGTCTACGACTAAGGATCCAGCCCCCCGCTTCCCGTGGCCAGTGCCCGAGAAGCCAGACCTCTGCACGCCCGAGACCACCCCTATCCTGAAGCGGTTCAAGAAGGACCATACCTTCGCGCCGCCCGACTACGGCGCGCACATGAAGTGGGCCGTGGCCGCCATGAAGAAGCTTGCTCGCGGCGAGGACATCGGGCGCTCGAGGGCGGTTCGCGGCCCCACGCTCTTCGACCAGGACGCGCCCCCGAGGTATGAGTTCGCTGCAATGGACGGTGAAATGAACGTCGGCGCCGACGCATCCGCCGCCGCCAGCGCGGCCGCGCCCCCTGCGCCCGCCATCCCAGGCAACCCAGATGACGATGACGCCGACTCTGGTCTCGGCGGCGAGATGAGAGGCGCCGCCGCAGCAGAGGACGAGGAAGACGTCTTCGGCTTCGGCGGCGGGATGGATGGCGACGACGGCCCCCCCCCCGCGGCCGTCGCGGCCGCGCCCCCCTCGCCTGCGGCGGCGATCAAGAGGGGGCCAGGGGTGTTCCGCCAGCGCCTCAAGAAGTCCAAGGATTGCGTCGTCATTCATTTGGACACGCCGACGCCGAAGAAGAAGCGCACGGACCTCGAGGAGGACCTCTGGCAGATGCGAGAGGACGACGGGGTGACGGGCGCCGCGGCAGCGAGTTCGAGCGCTGGCGCGCCTGCGCGAGGGCGCTTGCGATGGCCGGCGCTCTGAGGGGTGTGATGTGTTAGCGGCGTTTGCGATTGCGGCTGGAGGCCGCTGTGAGGGTCGCCATTCTGCAACGGGCGGGGCAGCAAGCGGCCAATGCTGCCTCGTTGGAGTCACCTGACTTGCGCGCGCACGACGTCTCCCGATGAACAAATAAGGGGTCGCGCGGCTTGTGTTTTCCAGGTTGTCCAGGTCTTCCCAGGCACTGACCGTTGAAAAACCATGTGTTTTCCAGATATTCCAGATCTCCCCAGAAACCACCCAGGTGAAAAAACATTGCGTTTTCCAGATTTCCCAGATATTCCAGATCTTCCCAGAGACTACCCAGGTGAAAAACATTTTGCGTTTTCCAGATTTTCCAGATATTCCAGATCTCCACAGAGCCTACCCAGGTGAAAAAACATTGTGTGTTTCCAGATTTTCCAGATATTCCAGATCTTCCCAGAGACTTCCAACTGAGTGAGCGTTTCTCCACGGTCAGTGTCTGGGAAAATGCGGAAAATCTGGAAAACCTGGAAAACACAACGTTTCTCAACGGCCAGTTTGTGGGAAAACTTGGAAAATTTGGAAAACCTTGAAACACAGCTTTTCTCAACGGTCAGTGTCTGGGAAAACGTGGAACACTTGGAAAACCTGGAAAACACAGTTTTTCTCAACGGTCAGTGTCTGGGAAAACTGGGAAAATTCGGAAAACCTGGAAAGCACAGCGTTTCTCAATGGTCAGTGTTTGGGAAAACTTGGAACATTTGGAAAACCTTGAAAGCGCAGCGGTTCTCAACGGTCAGAGCCCCGAGAGAGCCCAGAGACAGAGAAAGGAGAGAGAGAGAGAGAGAGAGAGAGAGGGAGAGAGACAGGCAAAGAAGCAGTCGAGGATGAGGAGACGAAAAGGTATGATCTTGGAGGGGGGCGACCATACATATATATATATATATATATATATATATATATATATATATCAGAGTGAGGGGGCCGAACGGTCATTCACTGTCCCTGGGTGCGTGGCTGAAGTGGAATTCCGCGGTGCGAATTCTCGTTGTTGTTTGTTGTTGTTGTGTTTGTTTGTTGTTGTTTTGTTTGTTGTTGTTTGTTGTCGTCGTCCCACCCGCAACCCGCCCCGCGACCCCACCCCGCGACCCACCCCGCGACCCACCCCGCGACCCACCCGCGACCCACCCGCGACCCACCCGCGAGCCCCGCGACCCACCCGCGACCCACCCCGCGACCCACCCCGCGACCCACCCCGCGACCCCCCCGCGGCCCACCCCGCGACCCACCCGCGACCCACCCACCCGCGACCCACCCGCGACCCACCCGCGACCTACCCCGCGACCCACCCGCGACCCACCTTCGACCCAAACCACGTTCAAGGTACAAACCACCATTTTCGGCGCCTGCGGCGCCTGCGGCGGGTTTTTTTTTGCATTCCTTCCAGGTGGACAGCCCGCGACCCACCCCGTGACCAACTCGCGACCAACCCGCGACCCAAACCACGTTCAGGGTACAAGCTACATTTTTCGGCGCCTGCGGCGGGCATCTTTTGCATTCGTTTCAGGTGGAAAGCCCGCGGCCCACCCGCGACCACGTTCAGGGTACAAACCACATTTTTCGGCGCCTACGGCGGGCATTTTTTGCAGTCGTTCCCGGTGGAGAGCCCGCGGCCCACCCGCGACCCAAACCACGTTCAATGTACAAACCAATTTGTTTGGCGCCTGCGGCGGGCTGCTTTTGCATTCCTTCCAGGTGGAGGTGGAGAGCCCGCGACCCACCCGCGACCCAAACCACGTTCACTGAACAAACCAATGCCGCACAAGCGCGGCGGCGGATTTTTGCATGCCGTCTGAGCCCGCAAGGACCCCTTCAAGCCCCGCGCATCCACACCAGCCCGTCCAGCAACGTTGCCCTGGCGAGTTGCCTTGATCAGAGAAGGCGGGGGGCATAAAGTGGAACAAAGGATTGCGTTGCAACTATCCTGGGAAAAGCAGGGGGAGGCAGGAGGAGTAAACAGGGGACAACGAGAACGCGGAATAAAGGAGGATGTAGGAAACTGTGGAGAAAGAAAAAGAGGAGGAACAGGAAAACGAGGAGGGGGAGGAGGGGGAGGAGGAGGACGAGAGGACGAGAGGGGGATGATGATGATGATGATGATGATGATGATGATGATGATGATGATGATGATGATGATGCTGATGCTGATGCTGATGCTGATGCTGATGCTGATGCTGATGAGGATGATGATTATGAGATGATGATGATGATGATGATGATGATGATGATGATGATGATGATGATGATGATGATGATGATGATGATGATGATGATGATGATGATGGTGATGGTGATGATGATGATGATGATGATGATGATGATGATGGACGACAATGGGAGGACGATGATGGAGGCCGATGAGGGGGAGGACGACAATGGGAGGACGATGATGAAAGGAACGAGGGGGGAGAGGGAGGACGAGGAAGAGAGAGGAGGAGGAGGAAGACGAGGTGGAGGAGGAGGATGACGATGACGATGAGGACGAGGACGAGGAAGAGGAAGAGGAAAAGGAGGACGAGGAGGAGGAGGAGGAGGAGGAGGAGGAGGAGGAGGAGGGGGAGGAGGAGAGCGCCATCGACAGGGAAGGTGGGGGCCACGAGGTCCGCCGGCTCGACGACGCCCGCGTCGCCAGCGCCCGCCCCCTCACTCTTATCCGAAATTGCGGGGTGCTACATATATATATACATACATACATACATACATACATACATACATACATACAGACATACATACATACATACATACATACAAATATAGATGTATACATTTATGTATACATACATATTTACATATAGTAACTCGGAGCTCGGAGATCCTTCTCAGTGGAGGACAGTGCTCAGGATCCTGCTCGGTTCTTCAGTGCTCAGTCACGACGCAGCGCAGTTCCAGTTGACTTTCAGTGCGCCCTCAGCGGGGGCCCGCCAGCGCCAGCGAGAACAGCTTTCAGCGCTCCTTCAGGGGGCCCGCCAGCACCATGCCAGACAGCTGAGGTAGTGAGTTCGCCTTCCAGACAGCTCACCCCGTCAGGCAGCTGACCCGCAGGCAGCTCACCCTGCCATGCCTCCCAGACAGCTTAGGTTGTTGCCCCGCCACGCAGCCCGCCCTACCATGCAGCTCGCCCTAAGGCAGTTCACGCTACCATGCCTACTAGACAGCTCAGGCGAACCAGGTGCCCTACCAGGCAGCTCGCCCCACCAGACAGCTTTCCTTCCTCCGCCATCGCAGCCGTTCTGGCCCCAGAGGGCCCAAGGCCAGCTAAGAGCATTCAGTTTCTCATCGACGCTTCAGCTCCGCAGTATCTCCAGAGTTTCCAGTCACTCTCGGAGACTTCAGCTGCGCAATGGCATCGCCGAGGTTTCGCTTCCCCGGGGGTTTAGATCCGACGGAGGCGCGGGCCGTCGAGGAGCAGAGGGCTCAGGAGAAGGAGGCCGCCGAGTTCAGCGAGGGGCCGCGCCAGTTCAGAAGCGCCCGGCAGCGAGAAAGAGGCCGGCCGCAGTGATCAGGGAGGGGGCCCCAGTCATCGGGGGGAGGCCGGCCGCGGCGGAGGCGAGGCCTGCCGCGGTTTCTCGGGGCAGCGAGGACTCCCACAACGGCAGCTAAGACGAGCCCCCATCAGGACTCCAACAGAAGCGCCCGGCTTCAGGCGCCGAGTTAGCGGTTGGACCGCCTCGGGCCCGTCGGGCCCGCGCCTTTCAGGGGGCTTGCTGAGTCCTTTCAGCCTGAGGCGCGGTCAGCTCGACCTTGCCAGCTAGAGAGGATATGACATACAAATAAGTAATCAAGTAAAAAGTAGAATAAAAGAGAATGAAATTGGAAAGGAAGTCTGATATAATAGTTCAGTAAACAGAAAAGGCTAATATATCCCAAACGATATTCTGTTCTGTTATACCTAGTCATATTCCAGTGTATTATAACTGTTCCGTCCTTTTCTATCCAATCCAATATTTTCTATTATGGCCCTCCGAACTCTCACGATCGCCGCGCCCGCGCGCGGGCCCCAATTTTGCCTCGGCGGCGCCAGGCGCTCGGATAACGCCGCGGCGCGGGGCGGGGGCGATGCCCCGGGGAGGGCCGCCCCCTAGGGCAGCCGAGCAGCTTCAATTTCCCACGGCGGATTGCAATGGGAATCGCGCAGGACGGGGAGGGATATATTTATGGAAAAATCAGTCTACTACGTGTTTGTGCTTTTTTGAATAAAAAAGAGGAAACCTTCGGACATGATCTTTCTTTGTCTTTTTGTTATATTCTAATATGTTATATTATGTCCTATTCTGTTTTGGTATATTATGCTCTCTGATATTGTGCGAGTGTTTCTTCCCCGACCGCTATGCTATTCTAATCCATCTCACCCCTCTCAGATTATTTCTCTTCTGTTATGTTATGTTATATGATGTTCTGTTTTAGTATATTCTGCGTTCTGTTATAATATTATGTACTTGTTCTGGTCGCTGTGCTATTCGAATTAGTTGTTCCTCTTTACTTGCAATCCTCTTCTGATATAATTTAACTCGAAGCGTGCCATTATATTTCCCGCTGGTTACTCTAGTCCCGCGCGCGTCAGATCGAGGGCCCGATTCGATCAATGCCGTTCTATTATAGTCCATCGTGGGCCTGAGTTGTTTTTATTATTTAGTTTGTTTTGTCTCCCATCGGGGGGGGCGCGCCCCCGTCTTTTGTTTTGGGCGGCGCCGGGTGCCGAGGTGACGCCGCGGCGCGCGGCGGGGGCTCTGCCCCGGGATGGGCCGCCCCCTCGGGCGGCCGAAATAAGAACAATTTATCATTGCGAACCGCAATATGAATCGCATGGGGCGAGGAGGGGGTGATTTTTTAAAATCTCAGTTTTCAACGTGGCGTTCTTCCCTTATCCCTCCTCGCCTCTCTCTTTCTCTTTCCCTCTCCCTCTCTCTCTCTCTCTCTCTCTCTCTCTCTCTCTATATATAATATATATAGATTTTTTTTTTTTGTTCTCTCTCTCTCTCTCTCTCTCTCTCTCTCTCTCTGTCTCTGTCTGTCTCTGTCTGTCGGTCTCTCTGTCTCTGTCTCTCTCTCTCTCTCTCTCTCTCTCTCTCTCTCTCTCTCTCTCTCTCTCTTCTGCCTCGTTGCATTCTTCCTTGCTCTACTGGGTTGTGTTCCCGTTTTGTTCGGTTCCCTTCTTCTCCTGCCCTTATTCCGTGGTGAGCATTATTGTTCTCTTCCGTTCTAGGTTTGCTTATTTTGTTCCACTTCTACTTCGCGCCGTCCTATTTCATTATATTCTAGTCCTACGGGGGCCAGGCCTGATCATTGAAACCTTAAGTGGGCCTTCTGGGAAAACCCTCGAAGTTTTTTTCCTGGCATTCCCATGTTGCCCCCGCCTCTCCCCCCCCCCCCCCCCCCATCGCCCCCATCGGCCCTCGGCCCCGCGAGGCGCGCCCCCCCGCGCCCCCCCCCCCCCCCCCTGGGGCCCTCTCGGGAACTTCGCGAGCGCGCAGGCGTGGCGCGGCGTCGAGAAGGAAGCGCAGAAAACCGCGCGCGCGCGGCAGCGGCCGCAGCGCGCCCTCGAAGTTCTTTTCGGACCTTCTCAGGTTGCCCGCGCGCGCCCGCCCCCCCCCCCCCCCCCCCCCCCTTCCCCCCCCCCCCCCCTCCCCGCGCGCCCCCCCCCCCCCCCCCCCCCCCCGCCCCCCCCACGCGCACCCCGCGCACGCGCACGCGCACACACCACACACACCACACACACACACACACAACACACACCACACACAACACCACACACCACACACACACACACCACACACACACACACACACACACACACACACACACACACACACACACACACAACACACACACACAACACACACCACACACACACACACACACACACACACACACACACACACACAACACACACACACACACCCACACCACACACACCACACACACACACCACACACACACACACCACACACACACACAACAACACACACACACACACACACACACACACACAACACACACACACACACACACACACACACACACACACACACACACACACACACACACACACACACACAAAAATTAACTTCGCGCTGGAGCGCCGCGGGCGAAGGTGCGAAGGTGCGGCTCTGAGAAGGAAGCGCAGAGCCGCGGCGCTGCAGTAGCACCGCAGCCGCAACCTCAGCGCACAGCAGCGCAACGCAGCAGCGGAGCGCAGCAACAGCACGGGAGGGAGCGCCCCTCAGAGACCCCCCCCCCCCCCCCTCAGAAAAAAAAGGCCCCCATTCGGAAAGGTGCCCCCTCAGGGGGGCCCCCTTCGGCAACGACGCAACAGTGCAGTGGCAGCGCGTGCTCGAGCTTCCTGCTTCAGGCTTCACAGACATGCAAATTTCAGGCTTCGCAGACCCGCGGCGACGCCCGCCCCCTCGCTCGCTGTCGCGGCCGCGGCGGTGGCCTTCAGCCTGCGCGTGGCTCAGGGCTGGGGCCGCGCGCAGCTCTGCGTCGGTTGCCTTCGGGTCGGCCCCCGGGGATGAGCGCCCACGTGCTTTACTGCGTCTGTCAGGAGGCGCAGGCCGCGCAGGGCGCCCAGCAGTGCGATTCGGAGACGGCGTCAGGGATCAGCCAGCGGCTCAGCTTCGTCGAATCGCGGCTCATGCCTGCCGAATTCAGCCCCTACGAATGCAATCGGCAGATGAAGCAGGCAATCGCGGAGTGGGAGCAGACCAAGGACCCCCCGCGCGCGCCCAGGCAGATCCGCCAGCTGCGCGCGAAGTACGCCCAGAATTTCTTTCAGCGCGCGAGGGCGTCAGCTGCGTCAGCCCAACTCTCTGCCATCGTCAACTTCGCGACCCAGGGGCCAGGCGCGGACGCGCCGACGATCCGCGCCCTCAGGCGGCAGCTGACGACGCAGTGGCACCGGGAGCTCCGCGGCCTCAGCTCAGCGGCGGGTACGATCAGACCGCGCAGGTCTCAGCCGCGGCCGCGCAGTCCCCTGTCGAGCAGCAGATCGGCTTCTTCGCCCTCAGGGCATGAAGTGAGCCTGACCTTAGGGCCGCCAGGGTCGCCGGGGCCACTCAGGCCCTACAGGGCTGTCTGCGCGGGGCATCAGGGGGAGCAGGGGTGGGTCAGAGCGCGATGGGGGGGGGGGGGGGGGCGGACAGCGAGGGGCAGGATCGGGCCTTGTTCTCTCAAGTTCCGGATTTTCTGTTTACAGAGCTCAGGGATCTCCCACAGTGGAGGGCAGTGCTCAGTTCCATCGCTCGGCCACTCCAAGAATTTATTTCGACGGCCAGTTCTCGGCGCAGGTTTTTTTCAGCGCAGGTTTGCGTCGCCGTTCAGAGCCGCGTCCCAGCGTGGGCTCGAGGACAAAGTCTACCTCTATCTCCGCAGGTCAACTCTCAGCGCAGCATCAGAGCGCACCCAGCTCAGCCTCGAGCGATCGATGGGAGTCCTGGTCAGAGTCAACCGCACTCAGACTCACGCAGCCAAGACATGTCCATCTCAGACACATTCGCACTCAGGCGCGCTCGCGCTCAGATCCAGGCCCCGCTCAGGCACCCCACCATGGGTAAAGTCAGACGCGCTCGCGCCCGCTGGCACTCAGACAAAATCAGACACTCTCGCACGCACTCTGACATTGCTTTCATATGCGCTCACACTCGCACTGGGACACGCTCGCATTCAGGCGCACTTGTTCCATCTGCTTTTCTCCCAACCCTTATCAGCGCCTTTCTTTTTCGTCCCGCATGTCCCTCCCCGCTTTTTGTTGTTGTTGTGGTGCTCGAACTATCGCCCTGCTAAACCGGGGCATCGGGATTATTTTTAACTCCAGGGGGTTTTCAATGACCAATCAGGGTTAGATGGGGTCCGAGTAGATGGGGTCGGAGGATCGCGCCGCGTCGCCGGTGCATCAGGGATGCGGCTCGAGGTGGAGCCCGATTTTCCCCGCGCCGACGTCGCCGATGCATCGCCGACGTCGCTGATGCATCGCCGATGCATTGCCGATACGTCGCCGCTGCATCGCCGATCCGATGCGGCGCGATCCCCCGATCCCATCTACTCGGACAGTATCTAGGAGGCCTCTAACTAAGGAGTGCGAAATAATAATCGAAACCGTTTTTGGGCACCGAGAGCGCCTGGGTGCACGAGGAGGGCTAGAGGCACTGCCAAAGAAGGACCTGAGGATCACAGAGCCCACGAAGAGCCACGACCTTTGCAGTCACACTGCTGCGTTGAGCAATGCAAACTTCGAACCGGAGCCGATTCTTGGCACCAGAATCGCCTGGGTGCACGAGGAGGGCTAAAGGCATCACACAGCCCTTCCGAGCCCAAAACGGTCCCTGTTTCAGCGTCTTGGTTGTACGGAGTGGATGTGTCTACAGGGCCCCTCGGGGAACAGCTCACCGACCTCGACATGAACACTCAGGTTGTGGTTGTGGTCGACCTGGCAGTCCTGGGACACCCATGTCGACCACAACCACTACTGAATTCGTTTCGGTGTTATAACGGTTGTGGGCTTGCGCGAGACATCCCTTAGGGTGTGCCCTCGATGCTGTTGTTGTCGCCTTCTGTCCGCGCGCAGGAGGTGCCAGGCGGCTGCGTTATAATGATCTACGCGTGGCCGACCGAGGAGATCCGGAACGACACGGCCGAGGCCGTGCGACTGCTGGAGAAGTTTTTCTTCTCCCCGCTCGGCGTCTCGTATCCGCTGGTGGTGTTCACGGACCCCGAGACCGCGTTGCGGCTGGACGCGGATCTTGGGCATCTGACGTCCGCGAAGGTCGTTCCCGCCGTGATACCAGTTGAAGAGTTGTCAAGGCAAATGTCATCATACAGCTGCGTCGACGGGATTGATTGCACGGCTGGCCGTACAATGAACAGCTCTGCGCACCGTTTGTCCGTGAATTCCACCCAGTTTTGGTCGCCCGACTACCTGAGGATTTCACGGTACACTGCGGGGCCATTATTCTTGCACCCTGCGTTGGACAGTTGTGGGGCTTTCCTCAAAATCGACGCGGACCTCTTCCTGACGGCGCCCATGGAGCGCGACCCGATCGCTGAGATGCAGGAGGAGGGCGCTCGCCTCGCGTATTGGCAGATCCATGTCCAAGGACAGCGCCAGCGTGGGTACATGGATGCGGCCATGGCTTACCTCGAGGACCTGGGAGGGACTGATGCCGTAGACGTGACAGGTCGTTGCCTCCTCGCCCCTGCAGCTTGCCAGACCCCGAAACCTTGCCTGCCGTGGTGTGCGCCAGTTCCGTCTGACCTCTCTCGGGGGAGGAGGAGGAGGAGGAGGAGGAGGAGGAGGAGGAGGAGGAGGAGGAGGAGGAGGAGGAGGGGGAGGAGGAGGAAGAGGATGAGGAGGAGAGGGGGAGGAGGAAGGAGTAGGAGGAGGAGGAGGGATGAGGAGGGAGGAGGGAGGGAGGGAGGAAGGAGGGGGATGAGAGGATGAAGATGAGGAGGAGAAGGAGGAGGCGGAGGAAGAGGAGCATGAGGGAGGAGGAGAAGGAGGAGGAGGAGGAGGAAGTATGAGGAGAGGGAGGAGGAGAGGAGTAGGAGGAAGGAGGAGGAAAGAGGAAGGATTGATGGGAGGGGGGAGAGGGAGGGAGGAGGAGGAGGAGGAGGAGGAGGAGGAGGGCGGTGGTGGTATCCACGGCCAATCCACGTTCGGAGTGCCACGGGCTTCCAGACCCTGGATTCCTCATCCAATGGCTCCTCGTCCAGTGTCCTTACCGTAGTTCCACCTCCGCTGAGCGTAGGCCGACGGCGAAAGGGTGACGATCCGACTCATCGAAAACGACGCCGTGTCCAGAGCGACCAACTTCGCTTGTCGTATCTCTCTTTACGCGGCCGCTTTCCACAGCACAGGAGGGAACAATCGGCACAAGCACTAATAAACGCTGATTGCCATGGAAATATCGAGAATTCTTGGAAATCAAGGTGAAGAGGGAGATCCGTGAAGCATAGACTAATTTGGGAAATCTGGGGACCCAGGCCCCCGACGTCATGATTTTTTGCATAACGTCGACCCCCAGAAATCTCGACCCATTTCCGAGGACCAGTTTTTATCCTGAGGCGTTACTTTGACGGCACCGAGGCCTGGGAAGGGCCTCCAGAAACCGAACATGTAGATAAGTTTGCCGTCGTCGTGCTTTTTCACTACGCGAGGGGGTCAGCGAATTTGTATAGATTTATCTGTGTCCCTAGCGGAGGAGCGCGCCCTCCCGATCAAGAACCGGGCGTTCTACGCCCGCGGCCGCTTCGAGGAGAGGGCCGCGAGCTTGGGCATCCCCGCGAGCGAGGTGCCGGAGGCGATGGAGGCAGAGGGGGAGGGGGAGGGGGGAGGAGAGAGGAGTGAGGAGGAGGTTTTTCTTCCGAGCCTGAGCGGGCTTGCTGCGCGCCGCCGTCCTGAGCTCATCACGGCGCCATGCCCAAGTGTCGGCCGTACACGGTGTGCGGCGCATGCGGTGGATGGGTCTACGACCGGAAGTTGCAGCGTTCAGGCGGCCGGTGCGACAGGTGTGGCGGCATCATCTCCGCGGCGCCGTGGGATGAGAGCTGGCCGGCCCTGGAGGGGAAGGGGCACCGCGGCTCGAGGCCGCCGTGGAGGAAAGGAGCCGTGCCTTGCTCCCCGGAGCAGGAGCTGGAAGCCCTCATTGCCGAGCTCGAGACTCAGAAGGGCGGCTACAAGATCGGCATCGATTTTCAGGCGCTCCGCGACTTCGAGGGCCAGGTCGAGCAGGCGGTTCCGAAGAAGCCGCAGAGGGAGATGCCGCAGTCGCTGGCGCTCAAGCAGGCGGCCAACAGGAGAAAGCAGGCGCAGAAGGACTTGGATGTGGCCACGGCCTCGGCCCTCCAAGCCCAGAAGCGCCTGGACGAGGCGACGCTTGCCCAGGACCAGGCGGCGCTGCAGATGGAGCAGGCTGGGGCGGCACACTTGCAGATCCTGGGCGAGTGCTACGCCGACTCCAAGCCGCCCATCCCGCCTGCGCCTCCTCAGGCGTGCAGGCACCCGAGGTGGACGAGGCCCTTTCCGAGAACATGGCGGACTACCCGGCTGAGGACGAGGCCGAGCTCTTCGATTCCAGGCAGGACATGCAGAGCCTGGCGAGCATCGTCGGCAATGCGCCAACACGGTACATGCAGTTCGCGGAGCTGCAGCGCCAGGCCAGGGAGATGCAGCAGGCGCATCTGGAGGCCAAGCGCAGGAAGATCGGCGAGGAGGACGCCACGGGGCACGCGGTCCCAGCGGGCGCGGCGGCAGCCGCTGCTGGGGCCCAGGAGCCCGGCACAGGACGGTGCCCAGCCTGCCCAGCAGCCGCGCGAGAACAAGGACGCGGCCGACGTCGACGAGAAGAGCGCAGCGGTGCAGCGGCTCAGGGAGGAGGCGCGGGCGCGCATCCAGGGACAACCCTCATCGCGGCGCCGGCGGCGCAGCAGGAGGCACCGCATGAGGGCGTCAACATACCCGTGCCAAGGAACACCCTGCTTGCCTCCAGGGTGCCCTGGGTTTCTGGGGTTTCGATGATTTTGCGGTGGGGTTTCTGGGGTTTCTGGGTTTTTGGGGGTTTTCTGGGGTCGGGGCCCTCCAGGGGCCAGGCTGAGGATGAGGGCGTCGACATACCCGTGCCAAAGAACACCCTGCTTGCCTTTTGCCTCCAGGGTGCCCTGGGCTTCTGGGGTTTCGATGATTTGCGGTGGAGAGCGCGACGTTCCCGCAACAAAAATCGATGGACGTCCTGGTGTCTCAGGGTTAGGTTTCTTGTGCAAGGTTTCCTCGTGGACGGGCCTCCGCTGTATCAGGATAATAGGAAGAGTGGCCAGTATTCTGTTGAGCGCTTTCTCCGCGAATTGCACCAAGCGGGGCCCGCTGGCCCGGAAGTGCCTCCATGAACCTGGCAGCGACATGGATGTAGGCATGATGCGCGAGACGCGCGTGGCCAAGCAGGGGATCCCGCGGGCGAAGGGCGAGCTCGCGAAGGATGGCTGGAGATTGCCTGCGGCTCCAGCCGCCCCCACCAAGAAGTCCGAGCACGGCAGCCTGGGCGGCGAGTTCATCGCGCTGAAGACCCACGTTGCGGCCACGGGTTTCGACGAGATGGGAGAGCTGATCGTGAGCAAGGGCATGCGCGACCCATTCGCGTGGGGGCAATGTGATGCTGATTGCGGACTACCTCGTCTCTGGGGGGGGGCAACTTTGACAAGGCCCAGGCGCTTGCGGCCTTCACCCAGTCCATGGTGGATCCGTGGGTGGTCTTGGCGGACTGGAACATCCCTTACGACAAGACGCAGCCGCCCTCGTTTCTGGATAGACTGGAAGAAGCCCTCCTTCGACCGGATGCGCAGGTGACCTGCGACAAGGGCTAGGGCAGCCTGATTGACTGCGGCATCGCGAGGGCGGACCTCCGCCCTAGACTCCGACTTGAAGTTGCCCGACGCGTGCCGTGGCGAACGCACTGTGGGTTTCGGTTGCACATGCCAGGGGCGAAGCAGGAGTGGCGGCCTCGTGCGGCGGCGGGCCCCAGACCTTCACCGACCCCTACGCGACCTCAGGCGAAGCCTGACCCGAATAGCAATCGCATTCGGTAAAGGCAAGGGGGGGCTTCAGAAGAGAATGGGGCAGCTGGAGCCGCGCCTGAGGGAGGTCCGCGAAGAGGCGAACAACTGCGGGCAGGAGGAGGCAGAGGAGGCTGAGAACCACGCGCCCTACTACCCGCCACTGGTCTTGTGGAATGACACCGTGCAGGAGCTCGAAAGGGTGCAAGGTCTCACCAGCGAGCTGCACCGCGGCGGCCGGCGCGTGGCCTTCGCCTCGGAGGGCCACGGGAAGGCAGTGGAGGCCGCCACCCGCGCGTTCGCTGACTGTGTCACGCACGCGGAGCAGGCCGCGCTCACGGCGAGCCACATCGCGGAGGAGCACCGCCAGAAGTGCATGGGCGGGGCTGCGGGCATGGGCGCTCGCTGGGTGCGGGCCCGCGCTGCGCCGGAGCGCGCGCGCCCGCGGCGTGCGCCTGCAGAGCGCTGGGGCATCCTTGCCACGGCCCTCGCCCACCACTTGGCTCTACGCGCCAAGGGCACTGGCAAGCGCGAGCAGGCCCAGCGCGCGGGCGACGTCCGCGTCGCCACTCGCGGTGGATTCGGAGCTGAATCGCGACGAGGTCTTCGCGGGGGGGGGGGGTCAGCCAGACGCGCCGCGGCCGCTGTCTCGAGACGGCGAACGACGTGGAGACCATGGCCCTCGAGCAGCTGGAGCTCCACCTGGGCGCCGCGGAGCCCAGCGCAGTCGCGGCCCAGGCGCGGCGCATCCCGACGCAGAGGAAGAACGTCACGTCGTGGGCTAAGCCGGCCCGGGCCAAGCAGGCGGGCGCGTGGCATCGCCGCGTCAAGGAGCAGACCCCCGGGGGGTTCGAGCTTGCGACCTCGACGGGGCAGCGGCGCGCGGGCCCCGCAGCCGCCGCGAAGCATGGGGCAGCCCTGTGGAGGAGCATCTCGACAGGCCCCGTCGATGGCACGCCGGGCCCCATGAGCTTTTCGGCCCGGCTCCACCGCGGCGCTCGCCTTGACGAGCGGCAAGCGGGGCAGCTCGTGGGCGGCAAGGCGCATGGGAGACGTTTGAAAACCACGCTCGGCTGCGAACCAACTGTGCCGGATCCCGCGGTGGGCACCCCGCTGCAGGTCGCGCGTGCGGGACGAAGGCCGGCAGCAGGTCCTGATCACTTCGGACCGGGCGCGTCGTCGGCGTCGCCGCGGACGGTGTCCCTCTGAGGCAGAGGGCCGCCCGGCCAGCAGCGCCTGCTGACGGCTTTGGGCAGCATGGTGCCGCGGGACATCGTGCCCATGGCTTCCGTGCCCGCGTCGGGCGTCCCAGAGGGAGGGGGAGGCGAGAAGAGCGAGGAGGAAGGTCCTCATTCGAAGAACAAAAGACATACGCACATACATATATATATATACATATATATATATACATACAAACATACATATTTATATATACGCATGCGCACACACATACATACATACATATATATATATATACACACATGTAGTCTCGGAGGTCCGCGGGAGTTTCTTGGATGGACGTTAGGCCTCCCTGGTGGCGCCTCCGGCGCCGCCCCTGGCGCGCTCTGCGCGCTGGGGGGGGGGTCCAGCGCCGATCCAGGAGATCTGCGCGCACCTCTGAGACATCATCGAATGGCCCTCGGCCCAGCCAGCCGCCGTGCCTGGGCTGTGGGTGTGAGGCCTGTTGGGTGCTGGTTGGGCTCTCAGTTT